GGCTGCTCCTTTCAGAAGTCAGGGAAAGTGCGCCCTAAACGCGTAGGGCGCACTTTCCCTGACTTTTCCACTGAAGCGTGTGAGGACGCTGCGGCGGGAGGTTGTCCTGGGAGCGCCGGCCGTGCGGAGGGCTGGCAGCTCTGAGGGCAACCTCGAGAGGAGGAAGGGGCGCCGCACGTGCGGCTGCCCCTCCTCTTCCCTGCCTCCAAGAGGGCTTAATAAGCCGTCTGCCGAGGCTGTCTATTTGGTTTATGTGTGGGCTGTACCCACACTGCATTGTACTAACTGCATTTTAAGCATAAAGTTGATTCACATTACTGGTGCCTTTATCTCTTAAGTCACTTCATGAGGATTGTTTCAATTGCCTGAGCTATTATTGCTTAAACATCTGCAGTGGCTGTCTTAGCATGCAGAATCTACTGAAACCAAATGTGCTGCAGACTCATAGGAAAAAAACTCTTTGTTGTGACCTGAGCCCTTGTGGTAATTGACTATGAATTAGACATGTGAGTGAGACTGAGCTTCTTATTTACTGGTGTGACCGTGGGAGTATGACAAAGCTTTGCCTGCAGGTCCAAGAGCCAAATATACAAATGCAAATAGTAGGTGTGGCTAAGGCAATCTTTTTTAATAAAAGGGTCTTCCTAGCAGACTGATTCACATCACCTTGGGAAGCCAGCAGGAAAGCACAGGCTGACAAGGAGCGCACACCTGCCATTTGTGAGTAAATAATTAGATGACACACAATGTCATTTCCTGGATTAGTAAACAATATGTTTGGGATCTTCACAAAGATGGTGATGGATGGTTTCTTTTGGGCTTCAGAGGTTACCTTCCAAAAGCAGTGGAAGGGAGATGTGGGTGGTAGGGAGGGTGTTGTGGGGCCCACATAGTTGCGAGGGTAAAAATAGCTGTGTAATTAATGTGTGAAATGTCATTCAGGAGCATATGGCTTTAAGGAGCGTTAGTCATCTTGCAGGATTGCATTGACATCTGGTAATGACTTCCCTCTTAGCTTCCTCACTTGTGGAAGTTATGCTCATCACTGAATTGCAAATTTTAATCTGTTGCTCAAGGACTTCACCTGTTGCTGTTAACAAAGGAATTAACAGTACAAGTTTGATCGCTAGTATGATAAATTCAAACCAACTTCTAGATCAGGGTCTTAAGAAAACAGACAGACATTAACATCAGATCTTTATTGGTCTAGTTTCTCACACCAAGGATTGGCAGAAGGTTACTACTAGCCTCCTTCAAATGTCACTCAGCTCTAGCTGCATAAGATTCATGTGGAGATGGGTAAAATATTTCTTTCTGAATAATTGTAAGGAGCTTCAAGAACTAGAGTTATCTCCTGAGACTGCACTGGGTCCATATTTTGTCTTGCAATTAAAATTGCCTTTTATAGAATTGTATTAATTTACTACCAATACATTGATGCTTAGGGGAACAATTAACCATCATTCATGATTGTTTGGCTTTAACTTCTCTGGAGGATAAACTGCCCATCTCTTTGGATGCTAATTGAATGCACATCAATCTCAGCTGCCCTTGGGAGAGCATGCCTTTCCTAACCAGCTACCAAACATGCTACTGTGTATTAATGAAACAAACGAACACAACCCTACCTCAATCTCCTCCCCCATGAATTCTATGTATATCACATAGCCTTTACATTAGTTCAGACAATCACAAATATTCTTTCCAATTTTAGGAATGCAGTAACAAAGAGAACAAAAATATTTTTTCTCAAATATAGATTTATTGCAATTACAGAATGTCTGTTCCCCAAGGTCTTGTGTTAGTAGACATAGTTTTCATGCTGACACATTTTTATTGTTGCAACAACCCTGTAGGGAAATAAGGGTGAGAGACAGTAGTGACTAGCCAAAATGATGGTCTTCATAGTTAAGTGCACATTTGAGCTGGTGTCTCCTTGGTCTTAGCCTTACATTTCACATACTGTAAACATTGCCTCATATTCATACCATGCAGCTATGAATCTATAGAGCTTCTGTTGGGGAAAAAAGCAGGGCTTGAGAAAATTACTTTTTTGGACTATTGGAGTTTTGTACTTCTGTTGGCTTCCTAGATTCAAGACCCTTCTCTTAAATCCACCAGCAAAATTATAAGTAAAAGAATCTATCATAATGCTGTATGAAGGAGGAAATGTAGGCCAACTCTGCCAAAGGGGAAACTACTTCTTGCAATGTCATTGGTTGTTAAAATTGTTAAAACTTGTGGAGGTTAAAACTTATAGGGGTTAAAAAGGGACCCAGGAGTAGTGAAGGGGAGGAGGAGTGGACAAGGAAGATGAAGCGGTGAGAGGGTCAGAGAGAGTGAAGGACTGGATCCTTTGGAACCATGCAGGAGAGCCTGGGATTCTGGGAGCTGAAGTCCCTCGGCCCTTAAAGGGGAAAGGTTGCCTACCCCTGGCTTAGACACTGCATAACGTACGGTATGAAGCGGTATATAAATGAAGCTGCTTTGCTTTGCTTTTTGATGCTACAGCTTACGTGCCCTGTCCCCTTCACCCGGGTAGGATTCTTGAGCTTGGTAGATGGTAGATCAGTTTGCAGCTGCAAAACTGATCAGAAGTCTGTGAAGCTTATTGTATTCTTAAACAATATGGCTTACCTGATCCAGTTTAAAATTTAAATCAGGCAGCATCCTGATATCATCAGAAGGATTTAGCTGCTGAAATCGCCATCCGGGCTCATCCCGGGCCCATCCCCGCTCCCAGGGGAACTCAACGTGCCTCTTTTCAAAGCTGGCAGCTAAATCCTTCTGATAATATGCTGCCCGATTTAAATTTTAAACTGGATCAGGTAACTCATATTATTTAAGACTGTGATAAGCTTCTGTAATAGCTAATAATATAAACAAGGGCTTGGGATGGTTGGGACTAGCAGTTGCCACAGACACCTTCTGCATCTCTGTTCTGTTTGAGTTGATGGTCCAGCACCTGATGTGGCAGCCCCAAGGTTGTTCTCTAATGGCAAGGTTTCTGTGACTGCTTTGCTGTTTCTGTGAGAACCAAAATATGGTGAACATAGCACTTGCACTTTGATTTTGCAATTTTAGGAAATCCCATGCCCTGCAAAGATGCTGACTTGGTATTTTCTGTGGAGTGAGAAGCAGCATTTGGATATTTAATTGTATTCGTATTTTGGGATCAATAGGGTATTCTCTCCCGATACTAACCTAGTTAGAACTTGTGTAATTTTAAGATCTATCAAAACCTTGTATTCTGAAGTGACAGAAGCATCTTTCAGATGTTTTGAGTTTTTCTTTGGAAATAATGATGTAGTTTTTCTCCCCCTTGTCCAAAATTGGTTTGGACAAGGTATTTAACCAGGGGTAGGCAACCCAGGGCCCGGGGGCCGCTGCCGCCCCCTGCCGCCCACCATGATGATATTGATTATTGTTGTTATTACTTGTTCTTGGGGTTTTCTTGGCAAAATCTCCACAGGGGTTTTGCCATGGCTTTTCTGGGGCTGAGAGAGTGTGCATGCATATTTTTTAATTTTTCATTTTTTAAAAATTTATTTATTTATTTATTTATTTATGGTGCTTCGGACCCCCAATTGTCTGAGGGACAGCAACCCGGCCCCCAGCTCAAAAAGGTTGCCTACCCCCCTATTTAACCTTCTGGAGGCAGATGGTGCTCACACATTTTGAAACCCAAGGGACTTGTTTTTGTGATATCATCTTAAAGCTCTTGCTTCATAGTCAAATCCTTCTTGCTTCAGAATCTAATACTTGCCATATGTAGGATGAGAAGGAATATAATCCCAGGTCATCTTGGTTGTGGTGACCAGGGTAGGAATTCAGAGTTGGTTGTGAGCAACTTGGCAGGTGCAGACCATCCCTCAATTGTAGCCTTTCCAGTTCTGAAAATGCAACATAGAGGATTAGGGGTAAGACTACCTATGAATCAGGGAAAATGTTGTGGTGGTGGTGGAATCTCTGAAAATTGGATTTCTCCAATTTTGATTTAAAGAGATTTCCTTTTCCTGGCACTGCAGCCTACCCTATTTAGCAGTGTGTTTATCCTTGATATATGCCAGTCTACAGACTATGCAATGATTTAGTTGCAATCCTATCAACAGGTAGATCTTAGTGATAGATTAGTAGACCTTTGTAGGATATGCTGAGAAGAGCAAGTGTGTGCTTCTGTCATCCTTGCTGCAGTATTTTTAAGATAATTATTTATAAGACTGACTTTACACATTTAAATGTGAACAGTAATGCAAAGGTGTTAATGAAAATACTTTAGCTCTTTGATGAGCAAGCATTAACTTGTCTGTGTTAATTTATCTCTCCACAGAAAGTAAATTTATTTGTTTCCCTGCAAGCCATAAAAGCATTTCTAAAAGTTGAACATACTTAAACAATAATAAAGTATAGCTTTTGGCCATTGGTTAGATATGCAATAAGCAGACAGTCTCTCTTCCTTATGAGAGGTATACTGAAGATGTCTTTATAATCAGAGAGCTGAGTTTTCATAATTGGGGGGAAAAAACCTGGCGCCAACATTGTTTTCTTGTGATTGCTAAGTTAAGGCTTTTCTGTTCTCCTACATTTTGGCTACTTTAAATATTTCTTTTGTATCGGTAAGTTTTAACTCTTATTTTATGTCTTGGCTGATTGCAGCTCCTCATTTTAACTGTGTTTTATGGACTTGGTATGACAGAATCCCCTGTCCAAGTTGGCCTCGCAAGCTCATATCACACACCTTGCCCCTTAACCCTTAAAATCCCTTCCTGGATCTGGTTCTTTGGCCCTAAGGCAACATTTATAATGGACAGATGTGTTAATGTGTTAATGGACAGATGGTAATGCATGACCTGTGTGTGTGTGTGTTATGTGCCTTCAATTGTTTCTGACTTATGGTGACCCTAAGGCAGAGCTATCATGGGGTTTTCTTGGGAAGAATTGTTCAGAGGGGATTTGCATTGCCTTCCTCTGAGACTGAGAGCATGTGACTTGCCCTTTTATGGCTGAGCTGGGAATCGAACCCTGGTCTCCTGAGCTGTAGTCCAACACTGAAACCACTACACCATGCTGACTCGCTAGCTCCTCCTTATCAATTCTTAAATGATTATATCTAGACAGAGATGTAGAAAATAACAACAATGAAGACTGATTGTATAAGAAATAAGCTAAACATCTTTCCTTTCTCTGGCTGGTTCCTTATATTGTCTAATATTGTCTAATATAGTGGGGTCTCCACATTTTATGGGGTTAGGAACACAGAACCTCTGTGAAAGTGGGAAAACTGCAAATAAAAAAAACCACTATTTTTAACCTGAGAGAACACCTCTATGATTCTATGATTGTATGATCTCTCTAGGACAGGGGTAGGCAACCTAGGCCCGGGGGCCGGATGCGCCCCCCCCCGAGGCCTTTGGACCGGCCCCAGGCTAGTCCTGCCGCCACTGCTGCCTGCCATGATGATATTGATTATTGTTGTTATTACTTGTTCTTGGGGTTTTCTTGGCAAAATCTCCACAGGGGTTTTGCTATGGCTTTTCTGGGGCTGAGAGAGTGTGCATGCATATTTTTTTTAATTTTTAATTTTTTAAAAAATTTATTTATTTATTTATTTATTTTTGGTGCTTCAGCCCCCCAGTTGTCTGAGGGATAGCAACCCGGCCCCCGGCTCAAAAAGGTTGCCTACCTCTGCTCTAGGACTTTCCACATCTGCTGGAAGATGACCATAGAATTGTGCTGGAAGACCTACAAATGCCTAGATAAGTGTTCTCTGTAGGAATCTCTAGGTCCTCCAGCACAACTTCTGGCAAACGTTGGCCATAGAGTTGCACTGAAGGACTTGGAGATTCCTAGAGAGAATAAGCCAAAGCCATAAATGTGGAAGGCTGACTGTATAAAAGGTAGAGGTTTCCCCTTGACATGAATGTCTAGTTGTAACTGACTGTAGGGGATGGTGCTTATCTCTGTTACTAAGCTGAAGAGCCAACATTGTCCAAAGGCTACTCTGGTGGTCATGTGGCCAGCATGACTGCACCGAATGCTGTTACCTTCAAACTGAAGTGGTACCCATTTATCTACTTGCATTTACATGCTATTGAACTGCTAGGTTGGCAGAAGCTGGGACTAGTGATGGGAGCTCACCCCATCCCTCATGTGGCACTTGGACCTCAAATTGCCAACCTTCTGACCTTCCAATCATCAGAATTGGCATCTTAACCACTAAGCCACCACATCCCGCCTGACTTCAGTTAAAACAAAGTAATGCTTTTGGTTGAACTCCTTTCACACTTTCAACTTCCATCAAACCAAAATCCCTATTCAGATCTTATCTTCCTTTATTCCTAAGTGGACCTGTCTTGCTGTTCCTCTCAACATTTAATCCACTCCTATTTGCCTGTCCCTATCTGTATTTCTACCTTGCCCTGTCTCCATTTCTGACTGGATCTGTCTGACAGGTTTTATATTTTCCACATAGACCCCCCCCCCAGCTGATTCCGAAGCCTGTGATAGGCTGGCTCTGTTAAAGCTAGTTTAGCTCCTCTCTTCACACTTGATTTTTGTATTTTTTTAAAAAAAAATCATGTTGGTTGTGGCATTAGCTTTTATATTTTCCATATTTTTTTTAAAAAAAATGGTACATAGAGACCTTTGTATTCTATTACAGTATTTTTATGTTTTTAAATGTGACTTATGGAGAACATAAGAGACATTAGGTCTAAAACAGACTGCAGAAAAAATCCAGTTTGAGACTGCTTTAACTGCTCTGGCTCAGTCTTAGGGAATCCTGGGAACTGTATTGTAGCACCAGAGCTCTCTGACAGAGAAGGCAGTTCCCAGAATTCCCTAACATTGAGCCAGGGCAGATAAAATGGTCTCAAACTGGATTATTTTTGCAGTGTATTTTGGACCCCCGTCTGGAATATTGGTATGCAAAGTAATCTTGTAGCACCTTTAAAACTAAGGAGAATATTGCTTTATGTTATAAACCGGTTTATCTGAGTTGGTTTAAAATTAGAAGTGGGTGGCATCCTGATAGTATCAGATGCATTTATCTGCCAAAATCACTGCCTGACTGCAGCCCAGCTCCATTGGTGCTCCAAAGGATGCTTGTCACACCTCTTTTTGAAGCTGGGAGTTTTCCGGCTTGAAAAAATGGCCACCAGAGCGCCCCTCTGAGCACCGATGGAGCTGCGCTGCAGCCAAGTGACTATTTCAGTGGTTAAATGCATCTGATACTATCAGAATGCCACTCCTTCTAACTTTAAGCTGGCTCAGGTAAGTCAGTTTATAACATAATGCAGTAATCTTTCTGTGTGAAAAATGTCGCATCTTCTTTCACAAAATTAATCTTAAAGATGCTACAGGATCATTTGTGTATGGAGAGCTTGATTTATAACCACCTCACCAATAATTATTGTAAACAATTCTTTTCATGTCTTTATCTTCTGGAAACTAAATAAATCTAAGCAATAAAGAAGCTTGTAAATTTGTAGGTTTAGGCAAGCTGTGGGGTGCTTGAGTTCTTGTGTTCTCGCCTTTCTGTATAAAGAGCCTGATGGTCTGCTTTGTACTAAACAGCCCTACTCCATGGACAAGGGTTGTAGAATCAATGAATCATACAGTTGGAAGGGTTCTTATGGACCATCTAGTCCAACCCCCTCCTCAATGCAGGATCTTAAGCATCCCTAGCAAATAACTGCCCAGCCTCTTTTTGAAGAGATCTGGATGGGATCCCACCACCTGGTCCTACCTTCTGGGACATCAGAGTCTTGTTCCCTCCTCTCTATGACAGCCCTTAAAGTATTTAAATCATATCAAACCTCAATCTTCTCTTCACCAAGTTGAACATGCCCAGCTGTTGGGTTTTCTTGTGATGACTGGGGAGTGAAACTGGGTTACTCTCTATGTTTTTTGCATGGATTATTACATATTAGGTGTGAATGTTTGAAAAGGCAAATTAATGTCACTTACATTTCAGTGGCAGTGGACTCTCTGCATCCTGAAACTTGGAATCCTGTCTATCTAGGGTTCCAATATCTGTGGAAGACAACTGCCATAGAGATCTCATGCACAGACTTTTCCTCCTTGTGGCACAGTGGTTAAATGCCTGTACTGCAGCCACTCACTCATAGACCACAAGTCAATGCTAGCCAGGGCTCAGGGCTTGACTCAGTACTAGCCAGGGCTCAGGCTTGACTCAGGCCTGCATCCTTCTGAGGTCACTAAAATGAGTACCCAGCTGTTGGGGGGCAATGAGCTTACAGTTATAAATGGCTTAGACACTGCACAGCATGGTATGAACCTGTATATAAATGAAACGGCTAATGTGTAGTCTGAGTCTGCTGCAATAATGTGTGTACACTACATGCATAACATGTGAATGGAGCCTGAGTAAATAAAATCAATATAGTAGCTCAGGTGGAAGGAGGGAGCAGAACTGTGAAATCTTTTTGAAATTTGTTGGTAACATAATGTGTTTATTAAAAGTTAGCATTTTCTTTGCTGCACCTGCTTGTGCAACAGAGAGAGCCATATTAGAGACATCACTCAAGTATGTACAGTCTTCCTGTAACTGGGAATGCTGCTTTTCCAGAATTCCAGATTACATGGAGAGATGCCTCTGAGCACACAGCTGTATGCCTAGAAAACTTTTCAGACCTTCAGCGGAACACCTGTACAGGTTGAGTCTCCCTCATCCAGATTCCGAAATCCAAAATACAGAAAGAGCCCAGTGGGTTCATAGAACGCCAGACCAACTTTCTCCATTTCCTTGATCTTCCGTCTTCGTACCAGCTAATTGTCTATAGAGCTCGAGCTGCTGAGGAAACAGTACTGTATAATTCACTGCTAAAGCAATGTAAAACTGGTGCAGATAAAACCAAGGAATGGAATGGTGCCATAAAGCTTCTTATTGAAGAAATTCACTAATATGTAATATCCCACTTAACAACAAGAAGAAAGCACTAGAAAATATTTTATTTAAGTGTAAATGAATGTGCGTGAGAGAAAAAGAGAGAGAAAGCTGAGGGACATACTAGAACAGTGATGACAAAACTTTTAGGCATTGAGTGTCCAAACTAAATGGCTTTCTGGCATGGGGTGTTACCCCGTGCCGGAGGCAGAACTTCCAGGGGAATGGGACTTCCGGTGTGGGACTTCTCCCCCCCCCCCCACCTTCCCGGGCTTTCAGCTACCTCTCCAGACACACACCTTTTCCTCCTCTTCCCCGCTCTGCATGCCAGGGAAAATGTCTTTCTGTGCCATCTCTGGCACTTGTGCCATAGGTTCACCAAAACAGCACTAGAATGGATGCCAATTGAGTAGACTGTTGAGTCCAAACCAAATGAAAATTGTATGTTCTTTTCACATCTCCAGCCTGTTCCCATGGAATGGTGAATCTTAACCATTTGAGCAGAAGACTGGTGCAGGGATCCAGCTACCCCTCCTTTACTCCCTCTTACTGTTATGATGAACTTTGTATGTGGCAGGGTGGATGCATAAAACTGGAAATGTGTTTGCATCTTGTCTGGGCCCCAAAATGTGCCAGAAGTGGTTCTGCTTTTACATAGAGTATAGAGGTTCCATGGGCCAGTGGTTCTCAATATTTGGTCCTCAAGATATTTTGGGCTTCCAGAGTCTCCCACCAATATGGCCAATGGTCAGGGATCCTGAGCATGAGAGTTGGGAAAGTGGGAAAACTACATCCAGGGCTTTCTGTCTCATATCACAAAATATTCTGATTGGATAGGTACTAGTATATGCTTTCACTTGGATGACGGGGAGGGACACCATGGGGCATTCCTTCACAGACAACAAAAAGCAAGTCCTGGCAATTGGGAAGCATATCAGGGATGACAGGTCTGTGGGCCAATTTTCTGAAACTTGAACCCCTTAAGAGCTTTATGAACTTCCCAGAAGACCAAAACAAAACAACAAATCCAGTCCAGTTCTTGTTTTGAAAGATGGCAATTTTTAGATGTTAAAAAGAGGAGGTGGGCCCTGTAGGTGATGTGCCATTCCTGAAAGCTTTTGGGAGACCCAATTCACACCTTTTCTTTGGCCAGATAAAAGACAT